TAACGTTACGACTTTATTCTCGTAACGTTACGACTTTATTCTCGTAACGTTACGACTTTATTCTCGTAACGTTACGACTTTATTCTCGTAAGATTTTAAAAGCATACAAATATTTTGCATTTAAGATAAAAAGAAAATAGCCTGTCATATGCTCTATCCAGAACTCCTCAAGTGGAAAAGTTTCAGTTTCACCTGGTTTGATGTTTGGAAAACGTCTTCTTTAAAGAATCTTTAGCTATCCGACTATTAATTGATAATTATATGCAATCGAATCATCAATTAATCGAAATAAACATTAATCAATTTGCAAAATAATCATTAGTTGCAACCCTACTTTGAGCTCCCAGAGAGGAATCTATGTCAGGTTAACATGGTGCATACTACATGTTTATTCTCTTTTCTTCACCTCATTCCTTCAGACTGAGACGGCCAAAAGAAAAAGGATGATTTTGAGTCTATTGAGATTTTTTTTGTGTAGGACTGACTAAACTGCTTTCTTCTAAATTATCCTCTTTTAGTTCCAAGTTGAAGAAACAATTTCGATTTGTAGCCAAATCAGCCTGATTTTAGTTCACATTTTTGGAATCTCGGTCACGTTCCAGTGCCCTTACAGTCCAACATGACTCGCACTGATTGAGAAAGAGAAATCAAGACATCAGGTATTCCTCAAGTGAAGTTAGGGAGCTGAGACAGAGATATTTCTTGCAAGAAATAAGGTTCAATTTTATTTAACCTCCTCAGATGGAGAGATAGGGCTCTGACTGGGCAAAGCTCAGTACATACAGGGGTTGCATGATGAAACTGAAACAACTCTCATTTTAGTGTGGAAGGTTTAATGGCTAAATTGGACCAGCCTGGTGGCCAATCTTCATTAATTGCACATTGAACCAATAAGAGCAGAGTGCGAAGGTCCAATTAGCAGGGTAAGAGCACAGTTTTGCTCAAAATATTGCAATGCACACAACATTATGGGTGACATACCAGAGTTCAAAAGAGGACTCTGGTATGTTCCCACAGTGGGTAAGAAAACGTGTTTTACCAGCATTCTTGGTAAAGAGACTATTACTGTGTTGATGGAGACTTTGACACCCCAAGATGTTAAAGATGATTTTCTTTCGTAGCCTTTAGCTTTACTACACACTTTGAGCAACATAAAATTATTACACTTGTTTTCAAACATCAGGTGAAAACTATTTAAAAGAAATTTATAAATGCATCATTAGTGAGGTAAGGTGGATTTTGCGAAAAAAAACAAAACAAAAACAAAGGAAAAGCAACTTATCTCTTGTCTTTTTTAGTGTAAGATAATACTACTGTGATGAAATCTATTATTTTAAGGCTTTTCACACATATCTACTAAGGAAGTATTAATAAATATAGAGGAAGTAATTTAATTAGTAACACAGCCAGTAGAGCAGGGTTTTATGTTTCGTGGCGCGGCTATATTAACATTCCTGTGGTGAAAACGATGTAAGGCAAGGCAAGTCAAGGCAAGGCAGGTTTATTTCTACAGCGCAATTCAGTACATGGGCAATTCACAGTGCTTTACATGAATTAGATCAAATAGAAGAAAGATAAAAACAGAATGAAAGCAAATAAAGATTGAATAAAATAACATGTACTTTAAGGGTGTGCAAAATAATCGTCATGACGATGCATCGCGATTCTAATTTTTGTGATCTACTGCATCGATTCTTGAAGGCAAGAATCGATTATATAAAAAAAAAGAACAAATAAAATAGATTAATGGTTGGCGCACATCCTGCAAACCAAGTGGAATACAACTTCCAGTCCAGCAGATGTCGCTGCTGATGTGTTGACGCCCGCTGCTTTGTGTCACAAGCATGTCCGGCCGCGGGGTACTGCTACGAGTCATATGAAATAAAACATGGAGGACACTAGGGGTGTAAATCACATCCATCATGGCGATTCGATTCAGTATCGATTTACGGACCCAACGATTCGGTTATTTTTGATACTCAAGAATACACTACGATTCGATTCATCGAGACCTTACAGGCTAAACAAAGTTTCAAGTTTGAAATAAATCAATGAAAGCTGTAATATCGTTATGCATTTTTTTTTAGAAACAACACCAAATAAAAGAAGTAGAAAAGTTGCATCAAAAAATCCTGCACAAAATCAGTGCAATTCAATACCTTAGCTCCAGACGTCCCGCCCCCTCCACAGACGCTCCGCTGCTCCTCTCCCAAATTGTAGCTGACCGCAGACAGTGCCGCAGACAGGAGGCCGGCTTGTTTTGTTTTTATGACCGAAATTGCGCAAAACAACTCGTGAAGTTTGACCCGCTAGAAGAGCAAGGTGCGCGAGAACGCTGGGACCCTTTTTCCACCTGGATCTCAGCTCTTTTTGGCCTTCATGTCCCTCCGTCGTCGGACTAAACTCGCCCCCACTTCCTCGCCGCCTCGGCCGTAT